AAAATTATGGTGTGCATATTATTGATTCTATTATTGTGTTCATAAAACAATCAAATTCTTTGCAGGCGATGAGTCACAATAACGTGGCTAAAGTATGTTGACCAGACCACACACTAGAAGGTGAAGAGACGATGATGTTTCGGTCCGTCCTGGACCATTCTCATTCGACTTGAGAATGGTATAGGATGGACCGAATGTCGTCGTCCCTTCACCTTCTAGTGTGTGGTCTGGTCAACAAACAAATTCTTTGTCAGTTAATACACTATATACACAGGTTATATACAGTATACAGTGGCACCTCGACTTATGATTGCCCCGACTTACGATAATTTCGAGTTACGATGTAAATCTGGTCGAAAAATGCGACTCGATTTACGAGTGTCGTCGACTAACGATATTTGTCGATACACGTTTGGGTCGACCGAGCGCATGGTTCCCGGTTGCGCAGGCTGACCTGCCTCGGTTTACTAGAGCCGCCTGCTTAGTGATGATCATGCTTATAAGTAATTCCATTTTTGTGGTGATTTTTTTATTTTTGAACATAAAACTGATTATTAGATATCACACCATGGGTCCTAAGAAAGTCAGTGGTAAAATTCAATATATGAACACACATGAAAGAATGACCATAGAGGAAAAACAAGAGATCATTCGTAAACATGAAAATAGTACTCGTGTTGTTGAACTAGCTAGGCAATATAACAAATCTTCAGGGGAGGAGGAGGAGGAGGAGGAGGAGGCAGTAGAGAATGCCCCTTCCTCATTAATAAAGAAAATGTGTGCAGTATAGAAAGGACTGTGAAGTTTTGCTGAAAAGAATCACCCCGATAAAATTGTAGTAGGCCGTTACATTGATCTTTTTAATGACATTGTGATGCCTCATTACAGACAAGTGTTGCAAAGAAGGAAAAACAATTTTCAATGGAACGATTTCTAGTGAGCCAGAAGCAGGTCCTAGTGGCATGCAGGCAAAACATGCCAGAATGTGTACCCCAGAGAAGTCATCACTGCCTGATGTCATAATGGAAGGGAGACTCCCCTTCCAAACAATACCACCTCTTCCCCTCCTCCCTAATCACCATCTTCCATACACCAACAAGAGTCTTCCATAAAGTTAAGATAAACATATGTATTGTATTGTAGTTAAAGAAAAAAATTGTATTCAGTATAGAATGTTATTTAAGTTAATATTTTTGAGGGTGTGGAATGGATTAATTCATTTCCCTTTATTTCTGATGGGAAAAAATCGTTTCGACTTACGATACGTCTCTGGGAATGGATTACTATCGTAAATCGAGGCCCCACTGTATGTATCTGCATGTTTTGTTCACCATAACAAACCACTAAGTTGATATTGCAAGTCAAAAAGCAGCGAGGTGTGGCCACCACAACTGCTAGTCAGCCTTTCACTGCCAGTCCCTCCCTCAATGACTCCTCACTTGCCCACATCCTCCTCCCACCATACTGTTCTTGCTTTTATTCACTATATACAGACGTTATATATAAGTATCTACATGTTCTGTTCACCATCACTGTTCATCTAAACTGGTTTAGTGCCCAAAGAGCATAGTGGCCACCCCTACCCAGCATGATCATGAAGATGTCACCACCTCCCTCACCAAAATGGCTTCTCCCCACACTCCTTTTGCTGTTATTACACTGTATATACACGTTATATATAAGTACAGTGGTACCTCGGAATGCGAGTGTCCCTGTATGCGAGTTTTTCGGAAGACGAGCAGGATTTACTCCAAAAATATGTCTCGGAAGGCGAGGGTTATCTCGGGACGCGAGTTTGTTGATACGTGTACAGGCCGACTGGCGCGTGGTGGCATGGCGATCGCGCCTCAGTTTACCAGTGTCTCGTGTCCAGTGACTATCCCACCTGAATTCTTCACAAGGATTTACAGTTTTTTATCGGTTTTTTGGCCATTTGAGCATAAAAGTTGTCATTATATATCTTGTCATGGGTCTCAAGAAAGCCATTGATAAGGTTCAACCTAAGAAAATAGCTGTGAGTAGAGGCAGTAGAGGATGTCCCTTCTTGATTAAGAAAATGTGTGAAGTATGGGAAGAACTGCAAAGTTTTGTTGAAAAAACTCACCCAGATAAAGCTGTAGCAGGCCGTTGCATTGACCTTTTAAATGATAATGTGATGTCTTACTACAGACAAGTGTTAAAATGTAGGGAAAAACAAGTGTCATTAGACAAATTCTTAGTAAAACAAGCAAGTCCTAGTGGTATGCAGGCAAAATGTGGCAGAGTGTGCATACCAGTGAAGTCCTCACTGCCTGATGTGATAATGGAAGGGGACTCCCCTTCCAAACAGTAACTCCTCTCTTCCTCCCACCTCCTCACCATCTTCCATACGCCTACAGCATTCAACAGCAAGGTAAGTAATAACTTGAACATAGTTTTGTAGGTTTATTTAGATGAATTAGGTATAAAAATTTAGTTTGATGTGGGGTTTTTGGGGTAGTCAGGAACGGATTAATTCATTTCCCTTTATTTCTTATGGGGAAATTAGCTTCGGAATGCGAGTTTTCGGAATACGAGGCGTCTCCAGGAACCAATTAAACTCTTAAACTGAGGTATGCCTGTATCTACATTTGTGTTCACCATAACGAAACACTAAGTTGGTATTATGAGTGGCAGTGGCAGCCCGCCACTTCTTGTCACTTCCTCGTGCCCTCACCTCACCTGACTAGCCACCACTCTCCTCCCACCATACTGTTTTTGCTTTTATTCACTATATACAGACGTTATATATAAGTACAGTATCTGCATGTTTTGTTCACCATAGCAAACAACTAAGCTGGTATAGTGAGTCCAGACAGTAAAAGGTGGTCACACAGAGTCAGCAGACAATGCTACCTCCCTGCCCACCAAGATTACTCCTCCCACTACAGCGCTAATTATCACAACAATCTTGCTATTATCAGAATCCTGGTCATTTTTATTACAGTCAGGGGTCTTCTGTAATAATATCAACACTAAATAATAGCATGTACATATATATTATGGCATTTTTAGACAATGCTGTGGTCACAAGTTGAACAGCAGTGTTGTGAGCTCATGCTAGGTGCGCCAGCCTTGGGGGCTCATGCTACGTGCGCCAGCCTTGGTGGCTCACTCAGTACTGAGGACCTCACACCCAAGAATGTGGTCCACAATTTTTTTTTTTAAATGGCGTCTGTTTACAAGTGCCCTGATGAAGGTGAGGGTGAACCCCATGTATCCGTGGGCCATTTAAATCTTGCATAATACTCCAACATGTCATATAATGTGATGCACAATTTATAGCAAGTTACTCAACACTTCATACGATGTGTTGCACAGTTTAAGGGGTAACCCCTGGGCTGCTCTTGTGATTATAGCCTGCAACATGCCCAGATGCAAGAAATAAAAAAAAAAATTGTCTTATAAAAGTGTTCATTTATGTTCCCTGATCACGGGGGGAAAAAAAAATCATAGGCAACATATTTTGGCAGCAATAGGGCGGGGAAGTTTGGCAAAATTGAGGCACTGACAGACTAAGCGTCCTGTAATGGTCTGCGCCACCAGCGCTGACAGGCGGGAGTTGCCATAAAGATATTATTACCTAATTATTTCAATGTGCCTGATTTTTTCTATTTTTATGCAGTAATATTATTCATTAGTGTGTAGTGTGATATATTTATATAATAAAATGAGTGAACCAACTGTACAACTAAGCTGGTATGGTGAGTCAAGACAATAACTGAGGTTGCCACACATTCAGCTGACGCTCCCTCCCTCACTCCAACACCTTACTCGCCAACATTCCTCATCCCACAATACTGTTTGTGGTTTTATTACACTAAATACACATATTATATGTAAGTATCTTCGTGTTTTGTTCACCATACATGTACAACTAAGCTGGTATGGTGTCCAAACAACATAGTGGCCACAAAAAACTGCATGACACGTCACAGCAGCCAGCAGACGACGCTACCTCCCTCACCAAAATGGCTCCTCCCATATACTCCTTTTGCTATTATTACATTCTATACACTCATTATATATAAGTATCTACATTTGTGTTCACTATAATGAACCACTAAGCTGGAATGGCGAGTCCAGACAATAACATGTAGTCACACAGAGTCAGCTGACGACGCTACCTCTCCTTTCCTCCTCACCAAGATTACTCCTCCCACCATACTACGCATATTGCCAATTCTCACTACAATGTCAATATCAGAATTCTGGTAACTAAATACTTTAAATGAATAATTTTCCTCAAGTTTATTTTGTTAACCACTGCACTACACACCTCTTTGACAAAAACTTCTTAGTGCAATTGTCAAGGACATATTTTTGTTGTTTTTATAAATGTTTAGGTAAAGTTAATGTCAAAATGTTTCCAAACTCAACTATTTCCATTTAAAATCACAATGAGTAATGAAAACATTAAAAAACATTAAAATATACCCTAATTAAAAAAAATAGGACAACTCTGAGAGCGCCTATAGGCGTTTTGGCCAGTGCAATGGTTAAAGAACATGAGAAGTTGTTTGAAGATACTTAAATGAACGAAACAATGGCAGTGTGCTGTGGCTAGTGCTAGTGCTGTGAACATCTTGAACAGCAATGTGTTCACTAATATCTGAACATTGTACACAGTCTTTATCACAGTCAGGCTCTTCTGTAATACTATCATGGCTAAATAATACCAGTTACATATATTTTGACATATTTAGGCAATGCTGGGGTCACAAGCTGAACAGCAGTGCTGTTACCTCATGCTACATGTGCCAGCCTTGGTTGCTCACTCCGTACTGAGGCTTTCACACCCAAGAATGTTGCCCACGATTTTTTTTTAAATGGCGTTCATTTACAAGAGCCCTGAGGAAGCTGATGGGCACCTTGTATAGCCAAAGGACTTATAAATCTTACATGCTACTCCCAACCATACATAGCTGTGGTGCACCGTCCCACAATATTTACTCACCCCAGCTATAGATGTATTGCATCATTTAAGGGTTAAACATGCCAAAACTAAAAATAGAAGGAATGAGAGGTGATATGATCATCACTTACAAAAATACTAACAAGAAGACAGACTCAAGCTAAAGAAACAAAGATGCTGAAAAAATTTAGAAAGTTTTCTTTTACAAAGGGAGGAGTAGTAGATAGTTGGAACGAGATAAATGAGGTGGTGGTGGAGGCCAAAACCAACAGTAGTTTCATGTGCTGTATGACAAAGAGTACTGGGAAGACGGGAAACACGAGTGTAGCTCTCATCCTGTAACTAAACTTAAGTAATTACACAAAGTGGAAGGGGCAATACTTGGAGAAGGACGAGTCACATCCTGAACTAAACCCTACCCCAACTCCAAAACCCTCAAACATTTTGTAGCTAGAAGCAGGGGAGGCAAGAGAAGCTGGGTGCACCACACCTGAAGGTAAAGAATGAGGAAGCGTGGATGGAATCATGGTGGAAATCACTATGAAAATCATGGTGGAACAAATTGGGCTAACTCCGGGGCATCCAACCGGGCAGCAAAACAAACCCATAAAGTAACAGCTGCCTTATAAACTTGAGCTTCATCAGGACAATCAGAGAGAAGAATCACATGGGGAAAACAAATCCCATAGGACTCGGTGACATAGGTTTCACCAACTCAATAAGTAGCATAGTGATGACAGAAAGAATTATTGTCACCGCATTGCATTGGACAATGAACAGCTCTCAATTTCACACAGGGTGGGGGCAGATTCGGAGGAAATATCCAGAGGCCTCACTGAAAACCACATAAGATTATCAGGGCCCAAAGGACTAACCAGGACACCCAGGCACTGGGGACATTCAATGGGGTTTATAGAAGTAGAATGACACCCTAGTAAATGTGTCATTTACTGAAGATGTGAAGGCCTAACACATCATGCCAAGTAAAACAAGCAAGTGAACCCCCAGTGTGCCTCAACTAACCAAATGTCCACCCGTAACCAAGGGTGTAGGCAGAAGGGGGTAAAAGACCACTGACACTCCAGGGAAGGCCCCCACTCCAGTAGTCTAGCCTCTAAAGAGCAAGATCCCAAAAACACCAGGGAAGAGAACTCTGCCAGTGCAAGGGGAGAGCTAGGGAACACTCTGGGAAGGTAGCCCAGAGCACATGCATCTGCAAGCACCTGGTTGATACCTGGTTGATGGGGTTCTGGGAGTTCTTCTACTCCCCAAGCCCGGCCCGAGGCCAGGCTTGACTTGTGAGAGTTTGGTCCACTAGGCTGTTGCTTGGAGCGGCCCGCAGGCCCACATACCCACCACAGCCTGGTTGGTCCGGCACTCCTTGGAGGAATAAATCTAGTTTCCTCTTGAAGATGTCCACGGTTGTTCCGGCAATATTTCTTATGCTTGCTGGGAGGGTGTTGAACAACCGTGGACCTCTGATGTTTATACAGTGTTCTCTGATTGTGCCTATGGCACCTTTGCTCTTCATTGGTTCTATTCTGCATTTTCTTCCAGTACGTTGTTATTTTACTGTGTAGATTTGGTACTTGGCCCTCCAGTATCTTCCAGGTGTATATTATTTGATATCTCTCTCGTCTTCTTTCTAATGAGTACATTTGGAGGGCTTTGAGACGATCCCAATAATTTAGGTGCTTTATCGTGTCTATGCGTGCCGTATATGTTCTCTGTATTCCCTCTATTTCAGCAATATCTCCTGCTCTGAAGGGGGAAGTGAGTACTGAGCAGTACTCAAGACGGGACAACACAAGTGACTTGAAGAGTACAACCATTGTGATGGGATCCCTGGATTTGAAAGTTCTCGTAATCCATCCTATCATTTTTCTGGCTGTCGCAATATTTGCTTGGTTATGCTCCTTAAACGTTAGGTCGTCAGACATTATTATTCCCAAATCCTTTACATGCTGTTTTCCTACTATGGGTACATTTGATTGTGTTTTGTACTCTGTATTATGTTTAAGGTCCTCATTTTTACCGTACATGAGTACCTGGAATTTATCACTGTTAAACATCATGTTATTTTCTGATGCCCAGTCGAAAACTTTATTAATATCAGCTTGAAGTTTTTCAATGTCTTCAGCCGAGGTAATTTTCATACTGATTTTTGTGTCATCTGCAAAGGATGATACGAAACTGTGATTTATATTTTTGTCTATATCTGATATGAGAATAAGGAAAAGCAGCAGTGCAAGGACTGTACCCTGAGGTACAGAGCTTTTAACTGCACTTGGACTAGATTTTATATGGTTGACCATTACTCGCTGAGTCCTGTTTGACAGAAAACTGAGTATCCAGCGTCCTACTTTACCGGTTATTCTCATTGACTTCATTTTGTGTGCTATCACACCATGGTCACATTTATCGAAAGCCTTTGCGAAGTCCGTGTATATCACATCAGCATTCTGTTTTTCTTCTAATGCCTCAGTGACTTTGTCGTAGTGCTCAAGTAGCTGTGAGAGGCACGATCTTCCCGCTCGAAATCCATGTTGGCCTGGATTGTGGAGGTCATTGGTCTCCATGAAATTGGTGACCTGACTCCTAATCACTCTCTCAAATACTTTTATTATGTGCGATGTTAGTGTAACTGGTCTATAATTCTTTGCCAATGCTTTGCTCCCTCCCTTGTGTAGAGGGGCTATGTCTGCTACTTTAAGTGCATCTGGTATATCTCCTGTGTCCAAGCTCTTCCTCCACACTATACTGAGTGCCTGTGCTACCGGCACTTTGCATTTCTTTATAAATATTGAATTCCATGAGTCTGGACCTGGGGCCGAGTGCATGGGCATGTTTTCAATTTCTCTTTCAAAATTTAGTGCGCTCGTGTTGATATCAGTTATATTTACAGGGGTTTGAATATCCCGCATAAAGAAATTGTCTGGATCTTCCACTTTCATGTTGTTTATTGGAGTGCTAAACATGTCCTCATACTGCTTTTTTAGGATTTCACTAATTTCTTTGTCATCCTCCGTGTATGAACCTTCACTTGTACGAATAGGTCCAATACTGGCAGTGGTTTTTGCTTTTGATTTCGCATATGTGAAGAAGTATTTAGGATTTTTCTTTATTTCCTGAATTGCTTTCTGTTCTAACTGCCTTTCTTCAGTTTCATACGAGTGTTTCAATTTCCGTTCAATTTCTTCAATCTCCCTATTTAAATTATTCCTTCTTTGACAGGAAATTCGTGTCTGCATAAGTAGTTCCGTTATTTTTTTCCTGCGTTTATAGTGTCGTCTGCGTTTTCTTTCTACATTGGATCTCTTTCTGGCTTTCCTCAAAGGAACATGTTTCTGACAGACTTGATACGCTTCCGAAGTCAGTTTTTCTATTCCTTCTGTAGGACTTGTATTACTTAGGACAGTTTCCCATGGAATGTTTGTAAGTTCCCTGTTTATTACAAACCCTACAAACCTACAAACCAGGTCTGCACAACACAAACTGGACAGAAAACACCCCCCCATGAAGCTAACTAAGACATAGAACAATACCAAGCAAATGGCCCCTGCAGGACAAAGCTTAAATACACAACTTCTAAGCTAGCACACAGTTTTGAAGTTATGTACTGGAGACCTGAGGAAGCAAATCTGAGTCCCATAAATGTGCAGGACTTTTAAATCTTAAGACTCCTAGAACTGAAGGACAAGAGCAACGAGGAGAGGTTGGAGGCATTAAATATGCCAAAACTAGAAGAAAGAAGAAAAAGAAGCGACATGATCACTAGGTACAAAATAGTAATGGGAATCGATAAAATTGATTGGGAAGAATTCCTGAGACCTGGAACTTCAAGAACAAGAGGTCATAGATTTAAACAAAGTAAATAAAGCTGTCGAAGGAATACAAGAAAATTCACTTTCGCGAACAGAGTGACAGACGGTTGGAACAAGTTAAGCGAGAAGGTGGTGAAGGCCAAAACCATCAGTAATTTCAAAAGCGTTATATGACAAGAGTGCTGGGACGACTGTAAGTAATTACCCAAGTGTAACTACACTTGGGTAATTACTGTACTCTAAATAATCCCTGCTTGTCTTGCGTAGTGTGGTCAGAAATGCCGCAATCGTTCCTGTTCGACATGCACAACTAAAGGGGTTATCCAAACATTTTAATAACCGCTGAACAATTTGAATCCAATTCAATCTTTTCGACCTTCCAAAAATTTGTTGGAGCGGGTTTCATTAGAGTTAGGATGCAATGTAGTTACAAAACAACATACAATAATGATTATTGGTAATTACACCAAGGTAATTCCACAAAATCATTAAATGAACAGAATGAGTGCGTTTATACAAAACAACACTAGGGTAGGATTTCATAGATTCACATACATCTTTTTATGTATAGCCACACCATTTGTGCTATAGTCCATTTGTGAGAGTGGGATGATAAATCTTAACTAATAATCTTTAGTCTAAGTTTAAGTTTAAATAATTGTAAACAATTTACTTATTTCAGGTGATATTCTTCTTGGGAGATGGTATGGGTATTGTAGCATCAACAGCAGCCAGAATTTACAAAGGACAGAAACATGGTGGACATTCAGGAGAGGAGGGTTCCCTGACATGGGAACGCTTCCCTCACACAGCACTTCTAAAAGTGAGTTAATATGGTTGATTTACTCACTGATAAGTAATTTCTCAGGCACTATGACACTGGTATTGCCAACATCTAATGAATATGGAACATCAGATTTCATATTCATTACTTTATATATTAGCAAAAGGGTGCATAAATATTCCATGAACAGCAAATACTATTTGTAAGTCATTTTTAACCATTACATTGCTCCATTTTTTAAGCTCATCACCCCTGTGTGCAATTAAGGAAAAATCCAGCGTTGAATGTAATGAAATGCTATTTTTAGGTAGAGCCTTCGAGGCTTCCAAGAGCTACTGGACTGCAATCCATCTTCAGACCAAGTCCATTCCATCCAGCAGTTGATCCCAAAGACACATTCATCAATTTTAACATGCTGTTCATTCAAAACAGGAATTTTCTCAAATATAAATTATTATTATTTTATGTTACCATATTGTACATATTTAGGCACTGGTTAGGTTAGGTATTTAGGTTCTGTTGGCAATAATTTGTATTTGTAGTACGCGGGTGAAGCATTTATGGTGTGGTTCGAACAAAATTTGTCAGTGAAGCACTTGTTCCGAAAGTGTTCGAACGTCATCAGTTGAGAGGCGTGTGTAAACCATTTTTGATTCATAAATCAACCCGTCCTCGACTCAAGTCCATTATATTCAGCGGTCAACCCCACAGACGCATTCATAAATTTTAACATGCTGTTCATTCACAACGGGAATTTTCTCAAGTATAAATTAATATTATAATATATTAACATATTGTGTATATATATAGGCATAGGATAGGTTAGGTTAGGTGTTTAGGTTCTATTGGCGATTATTTGTATTTGTAGTACGTGGGTGAAGCATTTATATTGTTGTGATTCGAACAAAATTCGTCAGTGAAGCACTTGTTCCGGATATGTTCGAACGTCAGCAGTTGTGAGTCGTGTGTAAACCACTTTTCATTCATAAACAGGGGGTTTGGCGGGTGCTTGGAATCACTTTTGGATCTTTGTTTGGAGGACGGGCTGCATAAATAGGGGGTTTGGCAGGTGCATGGAATGAACTTTGGGTCTTGGTTTAGAGGACTAGGTGTGGGCGTAATATTAGTATGGGGCTTCAGTCATATGGAGTTGTCATGCCTACCGGGAGACCACTAGCCAGAACATGGTCCCCTCAGAGAGGCAAAGGGAGCAATGGCCTATGATGGCCTATGAAACTCACATGTATGAAAGTACTTATGTCTGCCATCAACCGGGGTTGAGCACCCAGAAAGGAAGATGCTTCAAAACAGACCCCATCTGGTAGAAATATTACAACCTAAGACCAAACAGAGGCAAGAAACCCGCCCAAAGAAAATGAAAAACAAGCTAACAAGCAAAACGTCATCACATCGGGCTCCGCTCATTCGTGCCTCCCTCCCCCCCTCTCTCCAGGGGAAGAGGGGTCCCAGCCCACTGAGCCGGCAGCCGGACCATCAGTTTGGAGGCTGAAAAACAGAAACAAAACCACTGACCGGGGTTAGGGAAGATGCTGGGGAGCCTTTGGGGCTCTACCCACAAAATGGCATTTCATTATATTTAACACTGGTTTTCTATAGGGGAGCCCTGTCAGCTCTCTGGAGCTAACTACCCAAAGAGAAATAAGAAAGGAACTTACCCGGGAGGCAGGTGCTCTGCACAATTCATACCAAAGACGAGACAATTGGCTGCAATTGCCTACCTAAGTCGACACAAGAACGCCAGGGGCCTGGCACACTGACAAGATATCGAGCAGCCAGGGCCCTCTTCGATCTCCAAAACCCTCGTGCCAGAACGTCCACACACTGCCAAACATAGCAGCTAAAGCTGTGAATTTACAAACATCGTGGGCACGAGGGAAGACTGCAGACTAGCTAGACTTGATAACCCTGCGGAGGACCTGAGAGACCCAAGCCCTGGAACATGGAATAAGAGAAACCGGGTTAACCCAAAACATGTCCTCTGACACAGAAGTCGAGGAGCACAGGTAACGACGTAAAGCCGCAACCGGACACAAATCATGCTGCACCCCACGGCCTGATGAACCAAGCACCAAAGACACACAGAACCCTCGGGAAGCCCGCTGTCTTGTAATTCGCTAGAAAAGGAGGAGATGGCTGTAAACAAACAAAACGTCCACCCAGGCCAAAAGAGCAAAAGCTTCTGCGCCAGAGGAGAGCATGAAGCTCCATGACCCGACCCCCAGAACCTAAAGCCAACAAGAGCAAGGTTTTCTGGAAACTGTCTTGGACCGAAGGGGCCACCACAAACCAAGGGGAAAGAAGAAAGAAAGGAGAGCACCCTGTCTAAAGGCCAGGATAACTTAGGCGGCACATGAGCAGGCCGGAGGTGGAAAAAGGTACAAGAAAGCTTGTGAAACGGAGCCAAAGTGACATCCACCCCGAACGCAAGCTGGAGCAGCTCTGCCAGCTTCGCACAATATGAGGCAACAATATTCGACATAAGATGCCTGTCCTGAAAGAGCCAAGAAAGAAAAGTAAATACAACACGATCCAAAACCGAAGACAACCTACGCAGGGAAAGGAAGTGGCAAAAAGACCGTCAAAAGATTTCATACTGCTACGTAATAGTGGCTTTATTAGTATGTGTAACTCCTGTCCTTACTTTTACATTACTTTTATGTTCTTTGTATACACATTCTTTTGAATAAACATTTCCATTATCTTTATCATTATCAATTTATTTAGATTATATATTGAGTACAGTATATGCTATATTTTATTGGTAAGCATTTACAATGCAGAAACAAGAACATAATGTGAATATTTTAGATAAAAAGAGTACTCAAGACTAGTTTTGCAAATTAAAAATAATGTATAATAAATGCGTAAACAAAAGGAAAACAGCAAAACAATTAGCATAATACATAATCTTTGCCAAGAGAAAAATAGATGAACTATAAGCAGAGATAAATTAGGTAACTGATAGTCTCACATATTACATGTATCTGGCAACTTCAGGCAATTATTTACACAAAAAAATGACAAGTTAAACACTTCCCATTGAGCTACTACATACAGGGTATAGTACTACTGGATAATGGTTACACATGTCTTAACATCTATGAATTTTTTTTAACTGACTGTCAGATCAGGGCAGTAATCAGAGACAATGTATCTGACTGGAGAAGTGTTACTAGTACAGTACCACAGAGTTCAGTTCAGTGACTAGTTGTTCATCATCTGTGCATCACCAGTAATGTACACTGTCTACATAAACGATCTACTAGAATAAAGAATTATATGAACATGTTTGCGGATGAAACTAAGATACTGAGGAAGATAGGAGACGCAGACAATTGTAATGTCCTTCAAACTGATCTAAATAAAATAAGTGCTTGGAGCATCAATTTGTAAATGGAATTCAATGTGAATAAATACCATGTTATGAAATGTGGAATTGGAGAAAATAGACTACACACAACTTGCAAAATACGTGGAAAGGAATTACAGAACTCTAATAAAGAACGAGACCTAGGGCTGGTTTTGGATAGTAAGCTGTCACCAGAGGAACACAAAGAACAGTGTGAGGAGCATATGTGTCGCTCTCCAACTTCAGACTTGCTTTTAATTATATGGATGGTGAAATACAAGAGAAACTGTTCATGACTTTTGTGAGACCAAAATTGGAATATGCAGTTGTTGTATGGTGTCGAAGTGTCAAGATGCACATAAATAAACCGGAAAAAGTGCAAAGGCATGCTACAAAATGGCCTCTGGAACTGAAAAACAAAAGTTATGAGGTAAGACTTGAGGCATTAAACATGCCAAACTAGAATACAGAAGAAAAAAATGAGGTGATATGATCACCACTTACAAATTACTAACAAATTGACCAAATTGACGAAGAGAAATTCCTAAAACCAGAAACTTCACGAACAAGAGGACACAGATTCAAGCTAAGGAAACAAAGGTGCCAAAAAACATTATGAAGTTTTCTTTTCCAAATAGAGCGGTAGACAGTTGGAACAAGTTAGGTGAGAAGGTGGTAGAAGCCAAAATCGTCAGTAGTTTCAATGCATCATATGACAAAGGGTACTGGGAAGACGGGACAATGCGAGCGTAGCTCTCATCCTGTAACTACACTTAGGTAATTACATCGTACAAATTAGACATGTGGTATTCTACCTTTAAACAATTCATTAGCTTTCATATCATTGCTAAGAACACAAGAATAAAGGTAACTGCAGAAGGCCTATTGGCCCATACGAGGCAGCTTCTATTTATAACCACTCAATTGCACTCATATACATGTCCAACCCATATTTGAAACAATCAAGGGACCCCACCTCCACCACATTACGTGGTTATTGGTTCCACAAATCGACAACCCTGTTACTGAACCAGAATTTACCCAGGTCTTTCCTAAATCTAAACTTATGCAATTTATACTCATCGTTTCATGTTCTGTCTTGTGTTGATACTTTTAATACCCTATTAATATCCCCCCTTTGTTATGCCCATTCATCCACGTATACACCTCTATCATGTCACCCTTAATTCTTTACCTTTCTAGAGAATGTAATTTAAGCTTTGTCAATCTTTCTTCATATGATAGGTTTCTAATTTGGGGGATTTTTTATACTGATCTTTTCCCACAGACATATACGCTTGATGAGCAAATACCAGATAGTGCAGCAACAGCCACTGCCTTCTTTACAGGGTCAAAGGTAAACCAAAATACAATAGGACTGGATGGCACTGTCTTCAAGGATCAGTGCATTGCATCACTGAACCCCAAAACCTGGCAAACATCCATACTGGATTGGGCACAGAAAGCAGGGAAGCATACTGGTAAGACAAGTTCTAAAATGTTTTTGTGCTAGACTAATAACAAATATCATACAGTACTACTATATTCTTGCTTTGCAAAGAACAGTTCAGCAAGTTCTTGCAGCCAGACAAATACCTTACTTTGTGTAGCTTGGGAAACCATTATTTAATGTTTGTTGGGGTCACTAACTTTCCCAAGAGAAACACATTGCATTCGTACATTATATTATGATTACCCTATTTCCATCAGTTTTACAGGTGGAGACATCAAACTGCAGAAAGAATCGGTGAAGATAATGAAAGAAGATTATTCATATTAACAAATTGCATTAATCAGTTTCTTATACACTCATCCACACAAACATATATAGCATCACAAACACCACCACAGAAACAAGAATAAAAGAAAAAAGGTAGAAGGAAACCCAGCTCACTGCTCAGGTCAGCTGACCTACTCAACTAGGGAAGAGCTGGCATAAATCCCACTGTCGTCACACATAACCACAGGTGGGACACCTTCCAAGAAGCCACCCACCCACAGCAAGACAGCAAGAAGAACGCATCAAAGACACCAATGAAAACTGCAGAAGGAAGGACAGGCAAATGAAGACAAGCACTGGCCTGACCCACAGAAAACGCTCTGGTTTGGAACCGAGAAGGAAGCCCCTGAACTATAGCCGAGCCAATCACCAGTGAATCAGGAACACACCTGAAGCAGACCCTAACCTGGCCAGGAACAGGAATCACAGCTGGCCTGGGGAGGAGGGGTAGGAACCTCCTTCCTCAACAAACAAAACAAAAGCAACCATGCAAAAACCCTCGTAACGATGAATGGAGCTATGCAGAAGTAAGGACAGAGAACACACCAATGCAAAGAAGCCCAAGACCAGTGCCCACATAATACGAAAATATGAGGAGGAGGCCCAGAAGGGCAGCCCCTGGAAATGGGAAGCGACCAGGGAAACTGGCTGCAAAGGAGGTAAATTTTTCAAGCAACACAGTCAATGAGACCTCTAATGCCCAGAGGGGCAAGAGGCAGCAACCAGCCCCCATGGAATCAGTGAGCAAGGAACCACCCACCCCATCCGTGAAGAAAACACTTGGGAAAACATTGAGAAAACACCAGTGCACAGAGTGAGGGCGCCACCCTTTTCCCCCCCACTGTGCAAGTCATCAGACCCCACCCCGAGATGCACAAGACAAGGGAAGCACCCAGAGATGCCCAAAAATCATAGGGACACCAGCAATGAAGCATTTAGGTATAAAACAGCCATAGAGTTAGTAGGTATAAAACAGCCATAGAGTTAGTTAGGAGCAAGGGAGGAATCCCGATCATATGTGGCATTCTTCCAAGAAAGGGAGTGGGAAATGAATGGATATCGAGGGCACTTGGTGTAAATTGCCGGCTGGAAAGATATTGCAAATCAAATGCAATATCTTTCATAGACAACTGGGAACACTTCTATGGAAGAAATGAAATGTATGCTCGTGATGGGGTGCATCTATCGAGAGCTGGGGTTGTTGCTGTTGCGAACTCGTTAGAAGAAGTGGTTAGAGGTGTTTGTTTGGGTTTAAACTGTTAGTAGATAGAGGTATGGGAATTGATTTGGAGGAAGGAGGTAATAAAAGTATGTGTTTGTGGGAGAAAGGAATTGGCAAAACGATCAGGGAAAGAGAAGGTCCGCAAAATAACAATTCACTTAGGGTATATTACACTAACAGTAGAAGTCTAAGAAATAAAATTAACGAATTAAATGCTCTTGTCTGCACAGAAAAAATAGATATTATTGCACTTACCGAAACGTGGATGAATGTAGAAAATAGAGAACTATTAGCTGAATATCAAATATATGGATTTAAACTATTTCACACAGATAGATATATTAGACGAGGAGGTGGAGTAGCCATATATGTTAGGGACAATTTGAAATGTAGTCTCAAAGAGGGAATCAAAATAGAGCCACACACAGAAACTATTTGGATTGAATTAAACGAAAAAGCTAATAATATTATAATAGGAGTAATATATAGGCCACCAAATTTAGACAGAATGGAAGCAAAGCATCTATGGGATGAAATATCTAGAGCATCTAGATCTAACAGTATTTATGTCATGGGTGACTTTAATTTTAGCGGAATAAACTGGTTGAACAAAACAGGGAATAGTGAAGCAGAAGATTTTCTAGAATTAATTGACGATTGCTTTCTTATGCAACACATTAAGGAACCAACACGGGAAAATAATATTTTAGATTTAGTGTTAACTAACAGGGAAACGCAAATTAATGACATCGAAATAGGGAGTGAGCTAGGGAGCAGTGATCACAAAGAAATCAGATTTAGCATAGAATGGAATAGACCAGTAGGAGAAAATTCTGTTAAAGTGCTAGATTTTCGAAAAGCTGATTTTAATAGCCTAAGAAATTTTTTGGGTCAAATTGATTGGAAAGTCTTGGGTATGGGGTGTGGGCCGGTCTTGGAGCGAGACATGAACCCAGCGATAGGTGACTTAAATGGGGATTTCGATGTGGATTCAATATATAACTTATTTAAGAATATTCTAAACAAAGCACAGGAACGTAGTATACCATACAAATTGAATAGATCGAATACTAATGACCCAAAGTGGATAACAAAGAATTTGAAGAACCTTATAGGTAAAAAGAGAGCTTGGTACAAAAGGATTAAAAATGGGGAGGTCACTTTAGAACAGGAATTCGTACAACTGGTTAGAAATGTTAAAAAAGAGATAAGGAAAGCAAAAAGAAACTATGAAGTTCGCATAGCAGGGCAAGCAAAGACAAATCCTAAAGGGTTTTTTCAGTTATATCGTACTAAGACTAGGGAAAGGATAGGTCCATTAAAAACTGAGACAGGTCAAATAACAGATAGTGATGAAGAGATGAGTAGTATTTTTAATAAATATTTTGTATCTGTATTTACTAAAGAGGAACTTAACAATATGCCTTCAGCCGAACAAGTCTATGTGGGTGGGGACGAGGACAGGTTGACGAGTTTAACAGTTACCAGGGAGGATGTTCTTAAACAAATAGTAAAACTCAAACCAAACAAATCCCCAGGGCCGGATGAAGTGTTTGCCAGGGTGCTTAAAGAATGCAAAGAGGAGCTTTGTGACCCACTGTCAACCATATTTAATAAATCAATAGAGTCAGGCAGAGTGCCGGAGTTTTGGAAAGTTGCTAATGTGATACCAGTTTTTAAGAAAGGAGATAGATCACTTGCGTCTAACTATCGACCAATTAGCCTAACGTCTATTGTGGGAAAGTTACTCGAATCTATAATAGCAAATAAAATTCGTCTTCATCTTGAAAAACATAAATTAATAATTGAGTCGCAACATGGTTTTATAAATGGCCGTTCATGTTTAACAAATTTGTTATCTTTTTATTCTAGCATTGTTGAGGCAGTTGATAGTGGTAAGGATTGCGATGTTGTATACCTTGACTTTAGCAAAGCTTTTGATACAGTGCCACATGAAAGACTGATTAAAAAGATAGAGTCTCATGGTATTGGGGGTGCTATATTAAGCTGGATTAGGGCATGGCTATACCAAAGGAAACAGAGAGTTAGTATAAATGGAATCAAGTCAGAGTGGGAAAATGTTGTAAGTGGAGTGCCTCAAGGCTCTGTCCTGGGACCTCTGTTGTTTATAATATATATAAATGATTTAGATTCAGGTTTGAGTAGCAACATTTGCAAATTTGCCGATGATACGAAAATCGGTAGGGAAATTAATTCGGAGGAGGACTCACTATCACTTCAAGTTGATCTAGATAGGGTTTTGAAATGGTCAAAGGATTGGCAGATGCAGTTTAATGCTGATAAATGTAAAGTTCTGAGGTTAGGTAATGATGATAGAGTTACAAGATACGAGCTAGATGGTGTTGTGATTGCGAAGTCGGATTGCGAAAGGGATCTGGGAGTTATGATTAGTAAGAATTTAAAACAAAAGGATCAATGCATAAATGTTCGTAATAAGGCAAATCCAAGGGACTGACCGAGCCAACACCAAACATGCTCAGAGCCGGCAACCCAAGCAAAACAGGAAGAGTGAAAGAGTGAAGGGCAAAACACAGGCAATGTACAAGTGCTAAAGTAACCACTGAAGCCATCGAGGTCAGAGGAGCAGGGAGGCAGAACCAAGAAAGAACCAAAGAACCAACAGACAACCCAAAATGTGGCTCAATCAAGATCAAACCCAGTACAGAATCAACATGGCCTACCAACTGCTTAGCCAGAACCAGAACTTAGCAAACCAGAAAAACCCGAACCTCGACCAGCAGACAGAGACTTGCAGGGAATCGGAACGCCAGCCAGCCGTTGAAAAAGGCCAAAACATGAAAACAAGCCAGAGAGAGACCAGAGTCAAGCATGCAAACACATGGAAGCCAGAATGATGCCAAACCAGAAAAACACCATGAAAGAGGCAAGGCTGAAATATGCCACCCCAAAAAGCCAAAACCCCAAATCTCAACCAGAAGAGACAAGTCAAGACGCAAAAGGACTCAGGGGAAAAATCAAGGGGATACCTCCAAGGAGGAGACCAACCATGAAAATGTGAACTGCCAGATTGGAGCAGAAGAAAAGCCAGGATAACCACAACAGACCGGAGACCAGTGAGCACCAGGACAGAACCGGGATGCAGTGGGAAAGACCATGGAAAAGACAAGGTCTCCACAGATAACACCAGAAAAAAATCTATGCTAAGATGATCTGAAACGAATGAAAAGAAAGAGCCCACCTGGAAAACCCAGAAACCCCAAATGAAGGGGGTAGGGCCGACCAAACTCAAAGCAGACCAATGTAGAAACAAAACACCCATGAACACTGGAAAGATAAGAAAACCTGGTGAGTTGCCCCCAACCTCTCAGGGAAGGGTGAGGAGAGTCTTCACAAAACAGAAGGAAGGCCGTCTACAGAAGAAAGGGAGCCTGAGCTGACTCAAAGGAGTTTGGGCGGGGAATCACAAAACTGACAATTGACTCCATGACACACCACAG